ATCCTCATGTCTGCCATTGTCGCTCATGTCTGCCATTGTCGACGTGGCCATAATACCGCGCCAACGCAAGTCGCCAAGTCGCACTGGCGGCCCGCGCGTCAGCGAGGCCAGCGAGACGCGCCGCGAAGTGCGCAGCTGTCAGCGCGACCGCAGTCGCGTCGGTCGTGCCAACAAGTACTCGTCGCGATCGCCACCGAAATTGTCTTGCAAACCAAGCAACGCGTGGGAGATCGGGGCGATTGCGCGAACTTGACAAACCCAAGTTTTTGGGAGCGAGTTGCACCGCGTAGATTGCACCGCAGTTATTGCACCGCGCAGATTGCTCCACGGACACTGCACATCATCGGTTTCCCATTTGTGTGGGAAGCAAAAGCCCGCAACTCCTCCCGAGGGGTTGACCTTTCACCCTCGCGTCCTGTTGTTTACATAATAGTCTGCCACATGGTTCATTCTGAATGTAAGACTCATACCATCCCGACAAACCCTCCATCTTCTAGTGTCCTTTCTTAAAAAAAGAAACAGGTTCTACCGCCCTCCCCCCCCCTGGGCTTAAAGACCCCTCGGGCACCCATGCAAAACGCATAGGATTCTGACCCAATGTCCGTCCTACCTGAATTCATACTATTCCAGCCAAACCGGTACCGGTTCCCCCCGCCATCCTCTGCAAAAAACAAAAGGCGCGCACTCGTTTACCACAGATCATAAGCTTTCCGAAAAAAAAACCCTGGCAACAAATCCGACCAAGTGCACACGCGCGCGACGTCGCGCGCGCATGCCGAAATCCTTCAAAAACCTTCGGTTTCAGAAGTTTGAACATCGAGTGTCCAAACAACAAACAAACACACAGGTTTTCGCAACACTGATTTTCATTACGCGCGCGCTCCTGCAAAATCTGAAGGACATCGTAGCTTTGTCAACATTTCCAACACATGCTAACAAACGGGCTTCGCGCGCGCATGTCGAAATCTTTCGAACGCCCTTGCGCGCGTGCCGTCGGGAGAATCCTCTGCAACAAATTAGACGAAATGCGCGCGCGCGTCGTCTCGCGCGCATGCCAAAATCCTTCAAAAACCTTCGCTTGCGGACGGGTTTTAAAATCGAGTGCCCAAAAACATACCAAGACACATAGTTTCGCAACGCGGAGTTTCAACAAGAGCGTGCGCGCGCGCTCTTGCGTCATCGTCGTCGTCGCCGTCCTCCCTCCTCCCTCGTCGTCGTCGTCGTCGTTGTCGCCGTCGTCGTCCTCCGTCTTTCCTCGTCGTCGTCGTCGTCGTCCGCTTTGGCGTCGTCGTTTCCGTCGTCGTTGTCGCCGTGGTCGTCCTTCCTCCTCCCTCGTCCTCGGCGTTTCGTCGTCGTCCCTCCTATTTTGTCGTCGTCGTCGTCGTCTTCCCTCCTCCCTCGTCGTTGTCGTCGTAGGCGTCGCCGTCCTCCCTCCTTCTTCGTCGTTCGCTTCGTCGCCGTCCTCCCTCCTCCCTCGTCGTTGTCGTCGTTGTCGCCGCCGCCGTCGTCCCTCCTCCCTCGTCGTCGTCGTCTTCGTCGGCGACGTCGTCGTCGTTGTCGTCGTCGTTTTCGCCGTCGTCGTCGTCATCGTCGTCGTCGTCGGCGTCGTCGTCATGGTCGTCGTCGCCGTCGTCGGCGTCGTCGTCGTCGGCGTTGTCATCGTCGTCGTCGTCGTCGTCGGCGGTGTCGTCGTCGTCGTCGTCGTTGTCGTCGTCGTCGAAGTCTGAAGTCGTTGGGGACGTCGTCGACGCTGTCGTAATCGTTGTCGGCGGCATCGTCGTCGGCATCGTTGCCGCTGTCGTCGTCGGTGTCGGTGTCATTGCCAACTGCCGTGTGGTACTTACCGTCACAGTCTTAAGAGGTCTTGCGACTAAGTTGCGGGTGGGAAGGTGGGATGGTTGCACGAGCAGTGGAGAGGACAACTTCAAGACAGCCAAGATGATTTGCAACTAGTCGTATGCGCGCGCACTCGTTTATCACTAATCAACAATTGCCACACATCCCTTGCAACGAACAGGATAAAGTCCGCGCGGGCGGCCGTTTCGCGCGCATGCCGGACCTGGTCAACAACCGTCAAACCGCAAGGGCTTCAAAATCGAGCGCCGCGAAACATTCAAAATAATAACTGGTTTTAAACCATGCGGTTTGAAACAAGGCTGCGTGAACGCTATCGCGTGCTCTTAAGAAAAATCGAATCCTTTTTCAACGGTTGCATCAATTTCAACCAAGCGGGCCATTCGCGCGCGCGCCGGGATCATTCGAACGCCCTTGCGCGCGTGCTGGGGCGAGGGGTGGTGGAGGCGGCGGCCTCTTCAAATCGCGCCACTCGGGCCACTCGCGCGCGTCGGCTGCGCGCGAGTCAAAAAGCTTCCGCAACCTTCATCGCCGACGCGTGGGCGCCATCGCCGCCGTTTGCGTGATCAGCATCGGCGCCGCCGCGGGCGTTGCCGTCGTCATCGTCATCGTACTCGCCAGCAACGCAGCTATCCTCGTCGTGTCTACCGTTGCCGACGTCGCCGCGGCACCGCGCCAGCACGAGTCACCGACTCGCAAAAAAGTGCCCGCGCGTCAGGGAACGCACGCTCGTCAGCAAGGCCTGCGCGACGCGCTGGAAGTCCCCAGTGGTCATCGACCCCGCGGCCGTCGGTCACGCCAGACTAGCTGGCCGCTCTGCGCGCGAGCCTGCGCGCGCTAGCGCGGCCGCAGAGATGCGCCGGCCAGCGCCAAGCAATCATCGCAATCGCCGCGGCGTTGGTTTTGCAAGCCAAATTGCGAATGGGTGAGTGGGGAAAATGCGCGAACAGGAGCTGTCAACCTCGAGCTCGACAGGGTGAACTGCGCCACGTATATTAAAACGCGTATGTTGTACCGCGTATATCGCCCAACGTATATTGCGCAGCATAGGTTTTCCCACAACTATTGCAACGCGTAAATTGCGCGCCATGCATAACGTCTGTTGTACAAAACGTATCGCACCCCATATGCTGACAGCAGAGATTGCTTCGTACATGTGTATATGTATGTATACGAAACGCAGCACACACCTATATGTACATACAGATATAAACATACATAGATACGTGTTTACACAATCAACATCAGAACCACCATTACTATCACATTCGCCATCCTCATCACATTTCAACATCACCACCATCATCATAAACATCACCATCACATTCACGACCATCAGCATCGTCACCATAATCATCATTAACATCACCTTCATCATCATCATCGTCGCCATCACCGCCGTCGTATTCACACTCGTCACCGCCACCAAGAACATTTCCCCTATCCGAGCTGCCCTTGTTTACCGCTGTAGGCGGCTTCTCGGTGTGGCCAGCGGTGCCTCGCCCGCATACTGCAGCGGGGAATCCCCATTCCACGCTACGCCCTGCGTTCTCCGCCCGGTAGCTTGGGGCTGCTAGATTTTAGGAACACGCCTCCTGGCCAGCCCCCTTTGCATACCACGGCCGCCACATCCCAAGGCCCACCGAGTGTCCCCCGAGGCTCCCGCCTCACGCCTCCGACGAACACGACAGAACCTGACAAAACTGAGAATACAAAACCATGACAGACCATATCCTAGCATAACATGACGGGCCAGACCACAACAGAAAACCGCATCACGTAACAAGGCAGACTTGCGTAGCAACGCATGCTACGACATAGCGAAGCATGCAGCACGGAGCATAGCATCACACACTATAACATAGTAGCATGTGCAAACACATACTCAACAGGACACACCAGATCATACGAACACAAAATATGGCATTCACTCCCACGAAACGGCACGACACAACAACGCATGCGATGCCATAGCGGAGCAGACATAAGAGAGCATAACTCCGAAGCCAAGCATATACTTTACCATCGGAACCCACATCATACCATGCCAGGACGTCGCATACCATAACTCAGATGTTATGCCATACCAGAGCAGCATATCACATATTACACCATACCATGACAGCGCATAGTTTGACCGAGCGCAGTATACCCTAGTATGCAATAGCAGACAAAACCATAGCCGAACGCCATACGACGTGACTGAACGGACCATGCATAACATAGAACACCACCACGCATCATAACATAACATACCACGACATACCACAACGCAGCATGGTATATTATACCATACCATAACATACCATGTAGGGGCATATTATAGTATGACATCTCATCATAGCAAATGGCATTGCAAACCAGTGCGCACCATGACATGACAGAGCTCGGCATTCCATGAACTTATCAAGTATAATATGGCATACCACAACACTGTATAATGATATAGTACACCATGAAATACGACTGCATACTAAAACATACGCGGCATAACAACGCACTATGGTGTGATATTGCAGAACACATGTCATAACATAGTACACCACATACCACTTAACATACAATTACATGTCATAGCATATAATGAGTCTAGGACAACGGCAACCGGCGACTTGTCCCGACCGCTGCGCTGGCCAAGACAACTGGGCTCCGCGAGCATCGTTCCAGTAAGCGCGCGCACCTTCGGCAAAAAACGCCGAAGGTGCTGGTGAGAGTCGCTCGAAGCAGCACTTGTTTTCTGTGTATGTTTCGGAAGGTTTTGGCAACTCCGTCCGAGCTTGGAGGCGCCGAGCCCCGCCCCAAGGGCTCGCGGCCGCGAAGACGAAGAGAAGAAGCTCATGCCCCGGCCCCAGCCGAGGAACATCTGCGATCCACGCGGGAGGAGGGCGGAAGACTGCACTGGGACCACGCGCGCCACGCCTGCGCGGCGACAGCGCGATGTGGCCCGCCTGCCCTCGCCCTCACGCTCACGCGAGCAGACCCTCTCGACCGCAGCCCGCGCCATGGCCCGGCTCGACATCATTGGGCTCTGGCGCTCCACATCCGCGCCCACCTCCTCACCTTCGAGGCCCGCAGCCGAATTCTGCATACCGAACCCCCCAAACCTCTAGGAGCGGACATGCGGCTCTCGTCCGTAATCCCCCGCGTCAGAGGGCCGTAAGTGAAGTGAGAAGCGGCGGCGAGGCGCTCGCTGCCTCTACCGCTGTCGCTGCGGCGGGCTCCCCATGCGGCATCCCGTCGAGCACGTCTGGATTCTGCGGCGCCTCTGACGTAGCTGGCGGCGTCAGCGCTGCGGCGGAGGGCGCAGCCGTGGCCCCCACGGCCACTGCACTGGTCGGCTCCTCAAAGCCTCGGGTGGCCTGCGGTGTCGCCAAGGTTAGTTGCGCAGGCGCCTCATGCGGCGGCTGCTGCGCCTCTGGCACCTCCTGCAGGGAAGCCGTGGCTGGCGGGGCGGTCGCTGGCGACGGTGCTGTGACTGGCTGCGGTGATGCCCTCGGCGACGGCGGCGCCACCACCGCAGCTGGCTGCTCGGGTACCCTGGGTGGCGGAGGCGCTGACGCGGCCATGAGGGGCGCGCCAGTTGGGGGCAACATCGCCAGCGGCTCTGCCACCGTCGCCTCGTGAGAGGAGGCCGTGGCCAACGGAGCGGCAGACACCTGCGGCGGCGCCGAGGCTGGCTGCGCAGTCGCCTCGCACGACGGCGGTGGCGGCGCCGCCGCCGCAGTTGTTTGCATGGGCGCCCCAGGCGGTGGCGAAGCCGCTGTGGCTGAAGGGGGAGCGCCTTGCACCGGCGACATGGCCAGCGGATCGGTCGGCGGCACTGCCGGCGTGGCTGGCGTGGAGGACGGCCCTGGGCGTGCCAGCTGCCTGATGAAGGGTGCCACGTGGCTGGTCGAGGCGACCTTGTCTGGCAGCTTCGCCATCAGAGCCTCCACGGCCTGAAGCTCCAGGGGAGCGACTGTCGACGCCTCCGATGGGGATATGCTCGTGCGCCTGACCCTGAGGCACCTCCCAAACACAGCCTGGCCATCGAACATCTGCATAATCTTAGTGGCTAGTTTCTGGCTCTGGAACTGGACGAAGGCGTGAACGTCGTCCGCGCCCATGCTGATATTTGTGACGGCTGGCCCATCCTCCGCCCGAAATTCTGCAAGCTTCTGGGCGACGGGGTTGAGCAAATTCATGATGACCTTTGGGGAGTTCTTGCCGCGAGAAAAGTCGCTGAAGTGAGGGTATCTTTTCGTCCAGTCCCCATCTTCCCCTTCTACCAGGACGTCAAAAGCCCCCTGCCTCATTAGCTAATCCTCCTGGAGGCCTCTTGGAAGACTCTCAGGGGCTTGTTGGGGACCTCTTCGGAACCTCGTGGAAAACTCTCGGGGGCATCGCTGGAGCCTCTGCAGGCCTTTTTGGCAATCTTGATGCCAACTACAGTTGCAGCTGTTGAATTCCGCGTCGCTTGGATGGGTTTGGTGCGCATCTTGGGGCCATCTTGGGGGGGCTCGGGGCCGTCATGGGTCCTCTGGAGGCCTTGTAGGGCCGTCTTGAGGCTCTCTAGGGCAACCTCGGGCCCTCTCTTGAGCTATCTAGGGGCCCGTCTTGGGGCTCTTCTTGGCTGTCGTGGGGCGAGAGGGGTATCTCGGACCGTCTTGGGCGTGTTGACGCCCGCACAGTAAAATATGCGAGCATCATGCAAACTCTTGTAAACGACTTTGTGTTGTTAGCCTCTTCGGTGCCTCGTGCAACTTTTGTTCGGCTCTCCTTGGGGCGTCGTGGACGACCTGGAGTCGTCCTGGGGCCCTCTTCGGCTTTCTTAGCCGCATCTTAAAACGAGTTGGAGGCTATCTTGGACCACCTTGGTAATCTTGGAGGCCGTGTTGGCCATGCCATCAAGGGCCATCCTGGCCGCCTTGGATGCCATCTTGGACCATGTTTGAGGCCATGCTTGACAACTTTGGGGCCAGATCACGATGTTATCGTGGACGGGGGGGTGTACTCGAGAATGTGATCCGTTTCCATAGATGCGGCAATACTCCATTTACCCCCTTCCCCCCCCATCCGGGGTGGGACTGGACAGAGATTCCCTGGGGGGTTGGGGTGTCCACCAAGATGGCCTCAGATAGCACAGATATGGCTCCAGGGTAGTCGCAGGCGGCCCCTCAAGGTGACAAAATGTAGCTCAAAGTTGACCTAATCTTAGGTCGGGCATGTCCTCCTACAGGCTGATAATCGGAAAATGACCAAAACTAGTCAAAAGAGTACGGCACATCGTCACTGGACTATTTTTTACTATTCTTGAGTATTCCTCCTGCAGGGGCACAGGCCCGACTTGATCTAGTCGCCTCCCACTTGCTTCTAGCATGCCTGGATTTGGCCACGAGATGACTCTCGGGAGGTCTGGCGCAACCTAATTGGCGAAACCAGCAGCGCCCAATGGAGGTACGGCAGGTTCGTGTCGTGCCGATTTCGGCATATTTTGTTCTAACAGCGCGGGGATTGTTCAACGTTGAACGATCGGCCGTTTCCGAAACGTCAGATTGTTCAACACCGGCCTATTCTGGGTCGTCGGCGGCGTTCAACGTTCAAAGCCAGCGGCTGGGTCGCCGCTGGTCGACACGACGCGAACCTACAGTAGGCAAATCGGGGAGACCGCGAGTCGGTAGTCGAGCCGGGTGGCCAGCGCAATCTACAGCGAAATTAGAACGCAAACCATGGAGTGCGTATCCACCGTAGACTGGAGCAGGCTGGCGGTGAGATGGGGTCTATGGCGCAACCTGGTCTCCATAATTACCACTCGCCTGGGCATCGTTTCTGAATGGGCTGGTATGTACGCTAGGTGCCAAAGATTCAGGATGACCTCGGGGGAAGTCCTCCCGCGAGCGAGGTTGCCGAAGTACAACTGACGCAGCTTGCCCTCGTTCCCTCTCGACGGGACCATCGGCAATAACCCGCACTGGCGCAGGGGCGTCACGTCTAACGGTTTGGCATGGCCGCCTGGAGCAGGGATGTATCCCAGCGGCCTTTGGATACCCACGCTCCTGCCGCGCAACTCGAAACCGCTGAACAATATCGCAGTGCTCGCCAGAGTGTCGTCCCGGAACTCCACGAATGAGTACGGTCCCGTTTCAGCAGACCGCAGTGTAAGGGCCACGATGGGGTCCCCCAGGGATGGGTACATCTCCTGGAATGCCGGCAACTCCATGAAGAGAGTCCCCAGGGCTGAGCGGAGCGTTTTCTTTGTGACCAAATTGTACTTGAGCCCGCTCTTGGTGACCAAATTGTACGGCAAATCCCGGATGTATAGGGGAACGGAAAATGGCACAAAACAAAAAAAACTCGGAGGCCCGCGCGAACTTCTCGGATCGGCGCTGGACCCCCTTCCCTGGCGCGGAGGCACCGGAGGCGCCGCCAGGGGGCCCCAGCGCCGATCCGAGAAATCCGCGCGGACCTCTCTGTTCTTATGTTTATGCCATTTTTCGTCCCCCTAATGTAGATTTCACGGGTCTTCGCGCCGCCGAGCCGGTTCCGGATCTCGATCTCCTCCCTCACCGTCTGGGCGGTCGGGCGCATGTCCCACCTCGACAGTGCCGCCTCGGCGTCGCCGCCGGCCCCCGCCCTGTGGCGCGCCGGGCCGATGCCGTCCCCGGGGGGGGTGCGGCCTCTAGACGAGCGCGCCCCCAGTACTCGCAAAGCAACCACTCGCAAATGGCCTGCATCCCCCGCGGGGGATCTACCGATAAATGGTATCAAGGCAGACGCGCGATGTTCGGACGTTTGCGAGTATAGGCACTTTGCGAGTAGTGGAACGCGCTCGGTGCACCTCGGGCGCCTCCGCTGCCGCTGCTGCTGCCGCTGCTGCTGCTGGGTCCGCACCGCCCGCCCCTGCCGGCGAGGCGTCTGTGGGACGTGCAGCTGCTGGCGCTGCCGGTGCTGCCCGTGCTGCCACGCCGCCTGCGCTCCTGGACGACAGCCTGCCGCCTGGCACCCTCCGCCTCGGGTCAGGTCGGACATGCCCTTCTACAGGCGGATTTGGTGGGAAACACGAGAAATAACCCAAACACATATTCAAACACAGTGAACCATAGAAGAAACATAGTCCCTAGACTAGTTCGTGTTTTTCTTGACTATGTTGAAATGTTCCTGTTGTAACATGCCTGACTGAAGCCCAGGAGAGCCCAGAATCGAATCGATAAGACGGATCGGCGATCGAAATGAATCGGATCGGCGGAAATCAGCAGCCGAGTCGGGAAAAGTCGAATTGGCAGAAATCGGCAGGCAAGTATGCCTCCAACAAGACATCGGAAGCCAGATCGAAATCCCAAGTCGAACCGAATCCGAATCGGAAGCAATCGAGATCGGATCGAATCGATATCGGAGGCATCGAAACGAGCCCTGGAAGCCTCGGGGCTCGTGTGGGCCCTCGGGGCGCGCGCCGGGCCGCTGCTGCGGCGGCTGCGGGAGCGCTTGCCTGCCACCACGCCGCCGCTGCGGCCGGGGCGCCTCCGCCGGCTCCCAGAGGCTCCGGCGGGGCTCGAGGGCCGCCTCCGCGGGGGGCTCCGCGAGCGGCTCCGCTCCCGCGCGCGCCCGAGGTGCTGGCCGCTGCCGCCGCGGCTGCCCTGCCCGCCGGAGGTGCCCGACGGGCGGGCGTGAGCGCGGGGCTCGGACTGCCCTGGCGGCTCCGGAGACTTCGCCAGAGAGTCCTCGCCCCGACACTCCAGATGGGCAGGCTCCATGCGCTCCTCCAGAGGCGCGCCGAGGATCCCCGCGACGGGGCCGAGATCGCCCTGCTCCCCCTCCAGGGTGATCCTGCCTGCTGGGCTGTCTTGCTTTTTCCAGAATGCCTCCAGCGCATCCTTGATCGAGAACGCTTGCGACATGGGACCTGTGCGGACCAGAGCTCGCCAGGCCGAGGGTGAATGCACAGTCCAGTGTGGCTGCTTGAGCTTGAGCCAAGGCTGCGAGCACGCTGGGGTCTCGGCGTACAGGGTGACACTTTGAATCGCACGCACCTCAGAGCTAGGGTGAATGCTGTGGGTGTGAAAGAAGGCCTGCGAGTCCCCCACAGGATCTCGTCTTCGCGCAAGCGTGACGCGCACGTGAGGCTGCACGCACTGTGGTTCATCTGTAATGGATGCACGTGGTGAAGGCGCTCATTTGAGCAATGAGAATTGCTCGAAGGGCAGCAGAAGAAAATGTAATGTAATGAGCCGCAGTCGTAGTCGGAATAAGACTGATGATTTAAGTATCTTGGCACTCGCAGGCGAAAAGGACCGGCCCCGTGGGCTTCCTCGGCAGATGAAATCATTGCCCCTCCTGGCACCCCTCCCCAGAGAGCCCGCTCGGGCCAATTTGGGGGGGTGGGGTGTCCGAGCGGCTGCACCGACGGACTCATCCGGCCCTGCAGAGTTTCCAGACGGACATTCGACGGGCCACCGTCGGCGCAAGCCTGCCCCAGATGGTCTCGAGATGGCTCACGTTTGCTTACAGACAGCTCGAGATAGCCCCAGGAAAGACCAAGAGGCCCTCCAAACGCCCCAGGAGACACAGCAACTACGATGATTGTGATGGTGACGATGTTGGTGATCCGCCCTTGAGCTGGTGACGATGTATTATGGCGATGCTGGTGACGATGCGTGATTGCGACTGTAGTGGTGACGATACATGGCGACGATGCTGGTGATGAGCAGGGCATCGCGAACGGACAGCGCGCATAAATAGCACTGCCTCATGCAACCTCGGCTGGCAGGGCCTGGGGACATCATGTGGACACCGTCGGGACACCATGTGGACACCAATCGGGGCATCATGAGGACACCATGTGGACACCACGTGGACACCATCGGAGCACCATCGGGAGGAGCACATCAAGACACTGCAGGGGCAAATCAATAGTACCATCGCAACACCATCAGGACACCATGGGAACACCATGTGGAAAGTATCTCGGGACACCATGTGGACGCTATCGGGACACCATGTGGACACCATCGGGGCACCATCCGAACACCACTGGGACACCGTCGGGACACCATCGGGACACCATCGGAACACTATCGGGGCACCATGTGGACACCATCGGGATACCATCGGAGCACCACTGGGACACAATCGGGACACCATGTGGACACCGTCGGGGCGTCATGTGGACACAATCTGGACACCATCGGGACACCATCGGGACACCCCCAAGCCACCGTCAGGACACCCCCGAGCCACCGCCGGTCAATCGGGGAAGGGGGGCAACATTTGGCCTGGCTTCGCCCTAGAACGGCGAGTTCAGGTCGCCCGCCCACAGGCTTCGCCTCGCCCGCCCGCCCGCACGACACGAAACCAAAACAGATTTCCCGGGGGGGGGTCTCCGTTTCACTTCGATCTCACGCCCCAAACTTCCAATATTTTTAGCGCCCTCGCGTTTCAAGTCCACGCAGCTTCTAAGACGGCCAACGAGGCCTCGAACATCTCCCTGAGACATCCGCGAGGCCGCCATGAGAGCCCCATAACCGCCCAAGAAAACGCAAAGCGGCCCACGAAACGCCTAAGACGGCCCAAAGATGTCACTTGACGGCCCCAAGAGCGGCCCAAGACCGGGAAAGCGAAGGTGCCCCGAGGCGAAGATAGCCCCAGAGACCGCTTAACAGCCCCGAAGACTCCCGACGGGCACCCAGAAAGCCTCAAAGCGGGCCCAGAAGGCTCCCAATCCGTCGCTTGTTGCTGGCTCCTCAACTTGGTCCCCAACAAGTCGGCGGAGCGACGTAAGCCCGTGAATAAATAGGACTGCCAGCGTGGATCCCGAACGCTACGCTGAATTCTTCAGTCAAAAGGCCGGGTCCCTACGGTCGGTCAGCGGGACCCAAGACTTTAGACTGTATGGGCGGGATATCGTAGCGATCTGTGCCAGCGGGGCCTGGGACATGACGGTCAACAACAAGGAGATCGCAACGACCAGGGTCAGCAGGACCCAGGACCTTCTGGGCGCCGACGAGAAAAAACTCCAGCTGCCAGGGTCAGCCTGGACCTGGGGATGGGTGGCTACAAGAAAAGGCGACAGCCAGGCCCAGCGGAGCCCCAGGGCCCCATGGGGCGGCGACGAGAGGCGGCCACCGCGATCGGGACCAGGGACACGATGGCCCACGACCGCCAACAGATCAGCATACAAAACAGATCCCCACCGACCCCCCCAACCAAAAACCGTTAGTGCAGCACACTGATTTTGGCATAAACGCGCATCTGTTCGTGTTGCTGTTGGTAGGGCGACGACATCTATACATATCCACTGCTCCCTGGCGAGGCCCATCCTGAACCCAGCAGCTGTGTATACGCTGCGCCCTCCTGGCGTGGCCAGGAGGGCGTATGCACAACTCCTGGGTTCAGGATGGGCCTGGCCAGGGAGCAATGGATATGTATAGATTTCGTCGCCCGATGTTGGTGTGGCGGACAGAGCGGCAGTGGGCGCGGCCGTCGGCGAGCCAGCGAGCGCAGTGATCGGAGCGGGGCTGGGAGATGCTGCCCGCATACTTGTCGTGTGTGTGGAGGTGCGGCGGTGGGTGCCTCCGCTCCACCAGTGTGTTGGTCGGTACGGTGTGTTGGTCGGCGCTGGGGTCTTAGTGAAGCTGTAGATTAGGGGAAAACAAACCTACCTCGCTTTTGACCACCCTCGCTTCCAAGAAATACCAAACGATGCCAAATTGCAGCCTGTACTGGTCAGGCCGCTTGACGAGGAGGCGCGTGGTATGGCTTGGTTTTGCCTGGAAGCGAAAGCGGGGTAGGTAATTCACGCTCTGAGTAGGTTATGTTGGGGCACCTGTCCGTGGCGCTGCCGAGGGCACTGCCGTGAGTTTAGGCGTCGGCATACCTGTCGGCGGCCCAGCGGCCGAAACGGGGCCCATGGGCGTCGCGGATTTGGCAACAGCCGGTGCAAGCTTGGTGCAATTACAGGTGACCCAGACATCGAGACATCCTTGCGGTCAGGCAATGGAAAGGGCGGATGCTGCCGTGTTGATGCAGCCGCGGGCGAGCCTGCCATTGCACCAATGATTCCATCTTTCGTATAATTATACATTAATGTTTTGACATATCTCTATATATATGTATATATATATAGAGAGAGAGGGAGAGAGAGAGAGAGAGAGGGAGACACAGACATAGAGACAAAGAGAGAGAGAGAGGGATAGAGAGAGAGAGAGAGGCGAGAGGGAGACAACGGTGGCTGGATGGGCCGAGGGCAACCAGATATCAGCCGCCCCCAATTGGCTTGCCACAAGGGTGCACGGCGTGCCAAATTCTAAATTGTCCTTGGTCCTTCCTTCGTACAAGGTCCCGAAGATCTTCGGCCTAATGCGCGGGCCACCCGGACGGGCGTGCAAAATTTCCCGCTTCAGCGGTCTTCCCCCCCGTAGGTGGTTCTTGGAAACAGCAAGTGCGCTCGTTCATTTTGCAATGTTCCTCCGGATCTGGCGCCGTGGCTTTTCTGGCTCTGGCTCCGGTGTCAATCCGGCAGCATCCATTCCAATTCGGCAGGCCGTTGTTTTCGATGTCGTTTTCAAGGTGAAGACGTTGGGAACGGTCGGAAAACGGCACCCCACGTCTCCACGAACCACGACATTCCCCCTTCGTCAGGACCCGTCAACTTCCCAGCTCGTCGGTCTTCCCTGTCCAAGACTGCCATCATGGCTGACGATGGCCTCGAATATGCTTCCAAGACGGCCCCAAGAGAGCCCAAGATGGCCGCAAGATGTCTCCAAGATCGCCCAAGATGCACCCACAAGATGGCCCAAGATGGCCGAAAGATAGCCCAGGACGGTTCGAGAGGCCTCCACGAGACCTCCGAGAGAGCCGCCAGGAAAACCCGAGATCGCTGCTCCTTTTTTCTTTTCCCCCGACGTGTTTCCCGAAGCCTTCCCACGACGGCTGCGGGAACATCTGATCTGGCAGCATGGCCGAGCTCTTGCCACAACAATCGTCCACACAGGCACTTCCGAAAAGCAATGGGCGGCGGTGATTCACCGTAGGCGTCTTCGATCTGCTGGCATCTGTGCTGTCTCCCGAGGTGCGTCGAATAGGGTCTCCTTAGTATTTTCCGTACCAAAGGGCTACGAGAGGCCAAGATGTCCCAATATTACTCCAAGAGGGCCCAACATGGACCCAAGACGGACAAATAGGTGATGAAGGCTTTCGTCGTTCTCGCCTCGGCGGGTATCCGACATCCCAGGACGGTCCACGAGCCCCCCCAATATCGACTCAAGACAGCCCGAAAGGGCCCTAAGATGAACCGAATGGTCCCAAGAATGCCCCAGGACGGTCCAGAAAGACCCCCCACTGCCTCCGAAGAATGTCCCAAGTGCCAGGAAATCACCCCAAGACAGCCCCTCTCCAGTGCTCCCCCAGTGGACTCGCCAAAGGCTGAGGGAAAACGTAATCCATTTGCGTGGTCGCACTTCCTCGCGACGTTTCACGACACAGGCGTTTCCAAAATGCATGGGGTGGCGGTGACACGTCGCGGGTGTCTTCGATGAGTTGCCTGGAACCCACGCGTTGGCATCATTACGTTGCCCTGTCTGGAGGCGGCGATCAATCCGCAGAAGAGCGCGAGTGCAAGGCCGTGCTCGAAGCGATCGCAGCCGCGCAGATTGAGAGAGAAGCTCGGACCCCAGCCCCAGCCCCAGCCGAGGAACATCTGCGATCAACCTGGGGGGAGGGAGAATAGAGGAAAAAGAACTATGCACATACACCGATTCTGGCCAGGCCCATCCTGAGCCCAGGATCGGTGAATACGCCCTCCTACCTTGGCCAGGAAGGCATATGCACCGATCCTGGGTCAAGGATGGGCCTTGCCAGGATCGGTGCATGTGCATAGTTCTCTTCGCCCGAGAGAAGACTGCCCTGGCCCTGGCGCCACGCGCGCCACCCCCGCGCGAAGCGCCGGCACGAGGCGGCCGGCCCTCGCCCTCACGCCCACGGGATCCCATCCTCCCGACCGCAGCCTGCGCCATTGCCGGGCTCGGCATCTTTTGGCGCTGGCGCTCCAGAAATCCGAGCCCACCTCCTCGCCTTCGAGAGGCCCACAACTGAATTCTGCATGCCGAGTCCCCAGAGCTCTAGGAGCGGACATGCGGCCCTCGTCCGTAATCCCCCGCGTCAGAGGGCCGTAAGTGAGGTGCGCAGCGGCGGCGAGGCGCTCGCTGCCTCGACCGCTGTCGCTGCCGCGGGCTCCCCATGCGGCATCCCGTCGAGCACGTCTGGATTCTGAGGCGCCTCTGACGTAGCTGGCGGCGTCAGCGCTGCGGCGGAGGTCGCAGCCGTGGCCCCCACGGCCACTGCACTGGCCGGCTCCTCAAAGCCTCGGGTGGCCTGCGGTGGTGCCAAAGCTCGTTGCGCAGGCGCCTCACGCGGCGGCTGCTGCGCCTCTGGCACCTCCTGCAGGGAAGCCGCGGTTGGCGGGGCGGTCGCTGGCGACGCTGCTGTGACTGGCTGCGGCGATGCCCTCGGCGACGGCGGCGCCACCACCGCAGCTGGCTGCTCGGGTGCCCTGGGTGGCGGAGGCGCTGACGCGGCCATGCGGGGCGCGCCCGTCGGGGGCGAAATCGCCAGCGGCTCTGCCACCGTCGCCTCGTGAGCGGAGGCCGTGGCCAACGGAGCGGCGGACACCTGCGGCGGCGCCGAGGCTGGCTGCGCAGTCGCCTCGGACGGCGGTAGTGGCGGCGGCGCCGCCACAGCTGTCTGCATCGGCGCCCCAGGTGGCGGCGAAGCCACTGTGTCCGACGGGGGGTCGCCTCGCACCGGAGACATGGACATGGCGGAGGATGGCCATGGGCGCTGCAGCTGTTTGATGAATGGCACCACATGGCTGGTCGAGGCGACCTTGTCTGGCATCTTCGCCATCAGAGCCTCCACAGCCTCCACGGTCTTAAGCTCTGGCGGGATAATTCTCGCCTCCTCCTTGCGGAAAGCGTTCGTGCGCCTGACGCTGAGACACCGCCCTAACACTTCCTGGCCATCGAGGATCTTCATAATCTTCGTGGCCAACTTTAAACTTTGGAACTGGACAAAGGCATAGGTGCCGTCTGCGCTCATGTTGACATTTGTGACCGCTGGCCCTTCCTCCGCCCGCCACTCCACGAGCTGCTGGGCGACAGGGTTGACCAAGTTCAGGATGAACTCCGGGGATTTTCTGCCGCGGACGAGGTTGCCAAAGTGCAGCTCGCGCAGCTTACCCTCATGGCGGCAACTCATCGAGCCCGACGGGGCCATCGGCAGCAACCCGCGCTGGCGCAGGGGCGTCACGTCCAACGGCTTCGCCTCGCCGCCTGGCGCCGAAACATATCCCAGCGGCCTCCCGATGCCCGCCATCTTGCCGCAGAATTCGAAACCGCTGAACAATATCGCGGTGCTCGCCAGCGTGTCGTCCCAGAGTTCCGCGAATGAGTACGCGCCCGTCTCATTGTAATGCAGGGTGATGGCTGTGATTGGGTCGTCCACGTTTGGGTAGATCTCTTGGAATGCTGGCAGCTCCCTGAAGAGAGTTCCCAAACACAAGCGGAGCCTATCTCTGGTGACCAATCTGTGCGGCAAATTCCTGATGTAGACCTCCCGTGTCTTCACGCTGCCGCGCATACAGACCGCCCTCTCGTATATCTCCATCTCCTCCATCATCGTCTGGGCGGTGGGCTGCACGTCCCACCCCGACAGCGACGCTTTGGAGTCGCCGCCCGCTCCCTCAGGCTTGCCCTCGCGAGGCGGCCTCGGTTCCACCGGAGCCTCGACAGCGCGCCAGGCGGCCACTCCTGCGCTGCGATGCCCCGAGCTGGCGCTGTCGCCAGAGCCACTGCGACCTCGTCGGGCCCCGTCGCTGCTGGCGCTGCTGCAGCTGGGTCCGCGCCGCCTGCCTGGGTGGCGACATCCGAACCCCCACCCCCACCATGCCATCGCTTCTCCCGCATCGACGGCGGGCGGGGGCAGGGCTCGGAGCTCGCCACGGGTTCGACGACCTCCGAACCCTACCTCGGCCGCCCATTGGGTTGCCTGAGCGGTTGATCGGCGAGGCCAGGCTTCGGATTTCGCCGCCGATGGCCCCCCCGTTCCGACGACGGCAGCGGATGCAGCGACCACCACAACGACGACGACGACGACGACGACGACGACCACAACGACGACGACAACGACGACGACAACGACGACGACAACGACGACGACGACGACGACGACGACGACGACGACGACGACGACGACGACGACAACGGCGCCCGTGCCAGCGAGGCGCTTGCGCGCCGCGCCGCTGCCGCGCGCAGCGTCGGTGCTGCTCGTCGTGCCCGCGGCGCGCCGCTGGCGCTCCCGGAGGCCCCGGCGCCCGGCAGCTGCCCTCCCGGGGCTCGCGCGGGCCCAGCGGCCGCGCGAGGGGCCGCGGCTGCGGCGGCTGCGGGAGCGGGCGCCTCGGGCCGTGACCACCTGCCTGGCCACCCCCAACCCCACCCGAAGACCCGAATCTCGGAGTGGGGATGGGGCAGCGGGTCCCAGGTGTAGTTTTCCAATGTTCACCCCGACCCCCCCCCACACTGGAGATGGAGGGCAAATCGGGGCCTTCGGGTTGGGTTGGGGTGGTTTGGTGGGTGGTGATGTCGGCACCACCCCACCTACGGCCCCAAAGGGGCTTAGCGAATCCTAAATCATCTGGTGTGGGATTCTGCGTGGTATGCTCGACGGCCCCCGATGGGCCGTACGGCAACATGGAGGGCCGTGGGTGGGTGGTGTCGCTTGTTTTTGCAAAAAATTAGCCAGACGAAAGACGCAACCATACGTAGTTGTGAATACCGCAATTCGGTGGCCACGAAACGAGTGAGGGGTGTGCCGAAATGGGGGGGTGGAGCCGCATGCGAGCGCAGCCACTGGGGCGCTCAGTGGAGCTCCCTATGGGGCCACGAAACGTGTGAGGGGTGTGCCAGACTGGGGGGTGGAACCGCATGCGGGCGCAGCCACTGGGGCCTTCGGTGGAACTCCCTATGGGGCCACGAAACGTGTGAGGGGTATGCTAGAATGGGGGGTGGAACCGCATGCGGGCGCAGCCACTGGGGCCTTCGGTGGAGCTCCCTATGGGGCCACGAAACGTGTGAGGGGTGTGCCAGAATGGGGGGTGGAACCGCATGCGGGCGCAGCCACTGGGGCCTTCGGTGGAGCTCCCTATGGGGCCACGAAACGTGTGAGGGGTGTGCCAGAATGGGGGTGGAACCGCATGCGGGCGCAGCCACTGGGGCCTTCGGTGGAGCTCCCTATGGGGCCACGAAACGTGTGAGGGGTGTGCCAGAAGGGGGGGTGGAACCGCATGCGGGCGCAGCCACTGGGGCCTTCGGTGGAGCTCCCTATGGGGCCACGAAACGTGTGAGGGGTGTGCCAGAATGGGGGGTGGAACCGCATGCGGGCGCAGCCACTGGGGCCTTCGGTGGAGCTCCCTATGGGGCCACGAAACGTGTGAGGGGTGTGCCAGAATGGGGGGTGGAACCGCATGCGGGCGCAGCCAGCTATGGGGCCTGTCGGTGCCAGAATGCTCGGCCAATGGAGCTCCCTATGGGGCCACGAAACGTGTGAGGGGTGTGCCAGAATGGGGGGTGGAACCGCATGCGGGCGCAGCCACTGGGGCCTTCGGTGGAGCTCCCTATGGGGCCACGAAACGTGTGAGGGGTGTGCCAGAATGGGGGTGGAACCGCATGCGGGCGCAGCCACTGGGGCCTTCGGTGGAGCTCCCTATGCCACGAAGCGTGTGAGGGGTGTGCCAGAATGGGGGTGGAACCGCATGCGGGCGCAGCCACTGGGGCCTTCGGTGGAGCTCCCTATGGGGCCACGAAACGTGTGAGGGGTGTGCCAGAATGGGGGTGGAACCGCATGCGGGCGCAGCCACTGGGGCCTTCGGTGGAGCTCCCTATGGGGCCACGAAACGTGTGAGGGGTGTGCCAGAATGGGGGGTGGAACCGCATGCGGGCGCAGCCACTGGGGCCTTCGGTGGAGCTCCCTATGGGGCCACGAAACGTGTGAGGGGTGTGCCAGAATGGGGGGTGGAACCGCATGCGGGCGCAGCCACTGGGGCCTTCGGTGGAGCTCCCTATGGGGCCACGAAACGTGTGAGGGGTGTGCCAGAATGGGGGGTGGAACCGCATGCGGGCGCAGCCACTGGGGCCTTCGGTGGAGCTCCCTATGGGGCCACGAAACGTGTGAGGGGTGTGCCAGAATGGGGCGGGGCGCAGCCACTGGGGCCTTCGGTGGAGCTCCCTATGGGGCCACGAAACGTGTGAGGGGTGTGCCAGAATGGGGGGTGGAACCGCATGCGGGCGCAGCCACTGGGGCCTTCGGTGGAGCTCCCTATGGGGCCACGAAACGTGTGAGGGGTGTGCCAGAATGGGGGGTGGAACCGCATGCGGGCGCAGCCACTGGGGCCTTCGGTGGAGCTCCCTATGGGGCCACGAAGCGTGTGAGGGGTGTGCCAGAATGGGGGGTGGAACCGCATGCGGGCGCAGCCACTGGGGCCTTCGGTGGAGCTCCCTATGGGGCCACGAAACGCGTGAGGGGTGTTCCAGAATGGGTGTGGGAGGGGGAGGAGGGGGGAGGAGGAAGGAAGGAGGAACGCGGGGACCGTCTCTTCAAAACGAGGACCCAACAACACAGGTTGGTTGGAAAAAATACACCTATGGCGAGGGCACCGGATAAGGACACGTCGGATCAGGAATCACTATGGCGAGGGCACCTGATAAGGACACGCTTGTTTTTGCAACAATTTACCACTATGGCGAGGGCACCTGATAAGGACACGTCGGATCAGGAATCCAGGGCCTGCAAGCCGGTGGACCTCCAGTCGTGGCCTGGAAGCGGGGACCACCGCCGCCCTCATCCAGGGTCTGAGGCCTCCCGGGCACGTTCCTTCACGAGCGCCCCCACCGTACCAATCCCAGCGCTCCCCCTCCCTTCCTCCCCCTCTCTCGACTGCAGGCAAGAGTGACCCTGGATGAGAGTGACCCTTGGTGCGCGGCTTCACGGGGTGCGCGGGGTGGCCAAATCAAAGCGCGCGAGCCGCTGCCCTCGCTGCGCATTCGGCGATCGGGCGACCCCCACTGGGCCCGCACCAGAGGGCACTCCGGCGAAGGGGGTCACTCTTACGTCCAGTCGACTCTCTCGCTCCCGAGAGGGAGGTGGGGCGAGGAGCAGCAGCGGTGGCTCGGCACGTGCTCTCTCCTCCGACCCCCGGCCTGCCACCGCGCCGCCACTGCGCCCAGGGCGCCCCTGCGGGCTGCCACGACCCCCAGGGCTCGCAGCACTCGCGGGCCGCCTCCGCCCGGGGCTCCGCGAGCGGCTCCGCCCCGGGAAGGCGCGCCTGGCGCCGGGGCTCGCCGGCACGTGCACGGAGTTCTCCACCCCGCGGTGCGTGGCCCTGCTGTGATTGAGTTCAAACAAACTGGTTCTCGAATACATTTTCTTTGGGGGGGGTTCAAGAAGTGGTTTTTGAATTCAAGCGTTCTTGGGATCCAAGACTTCTGCATGCAAAAACCAGTCGCGCGGCCTATCGAATTCAAAAAAAAACATTCTTTAAATTGAAAAACCAGCCCCCCCCGGGCGCACGCATCTGCCAGCGACGCCGAGCCTGCAGCCACGCCCCGGGAGGAGGTGTCGGCAGGGCTGCGTCCTCGAGACGCTCCTGCGCTTGCTGCAGCTCGGTGGGTCCTCGTGCGCGCGCCTGGTGCACTGCCCGCCAGAGGTGCCAGACGTGCGGGCGTCCACATGGGGCTCGGACTGCCCCGGCGGCGTCGGAGGGCTTGCATGAGACCCTTCGCTCCGCAGGCGTGCCGCTGGGGCTTCCAGGTGCAGCCGCTCGCGGGCGTCCGCCTTCTCCACTGTGATATTCCCCTCCAGGGTGCGTCTCTTGTTCCAGAATGCCTCCAGCGCGTCCTTGATGGAGAACGCCTTCGACATGGACCTGCGCAAACTAGAACTTCGCGGGGCTGTGGGCCAATTCCCCTCCGATGCGGCTACCTGAGCCACAGCTGCGGGCACGAACCTTGCAGTTGCACATCGCGTTGAATGTCATCTTATCTGCGTGAATATGTTTGGGGCTTGCATGTCTCACGTGGGCGTTTCTAAATGTGTTCTTGCTCATCGGGGCGAGCGGATTCTGTGTTTCTGGCCCTCTGAAACAATGTCAAATCGCGCACGTTATGGCTGGTGGCGGAATGGGCAGGCGCCGTTGCATTCGTATTCCTCTCGATCCGACACCCTACCCCCTCGCACGTTGAAGCGTGGTAGAATGCCAAATGCTGTCTGGTAGGGTGTCTGTAATCTCCTGATGGCCACCCCCTTCCGGCCGCACTCACCTGCGTGCATCGACCCCCCCTGCCGAGATATCCTGAGCTGCCGATGCGGACCAGGCAAGCTACCAAGACCGCCAAGATGGTCCAAGATGCCTCCATGACGGCCCACAATGACTCCAAGACAGCCTCAAGATGCCCAATCGGCCTCCAAGGCGGTCAAGTGGGCTCCAAGGGAACCTCCATGAAGGCCCGAACGAAAAACTAAAATAGGATGATTCTTAGGTTGTTGAAGGGTTTTCGTCCTCTCGCCGTTTGGGACTTCCGTCGGCTCAAGACGTCCCAATGGGTCTCTAAGATGGCCCCGCAACGGCCCAACAGGGCCTCCAAGACGGCCTCAAGACACCACTAGAGGGCCCCTATAGCCCAGGACGAATCCAAGAGGGCCCTGCTAAGCTGGCCCAACAAAGCCTCTAGAGGGACCCAAGATGGCCTATGATGATCCTGGGACGGCCCAACACGGTCCCACCACGGCCCCAAGACAGCACCCAGACGGTCAAGAAGACCCCAAGAGAGCCACAAGAAAAGGTACCCCGAAGACTGCCCCACAGGAGCCCAGGACAACCCCAAGAAGGCTCAAATGAGGTTAATGAGGGATCCTGAAGAGTTGAAGACGACATGCGTCACATGAAACGGCTCTCCTCTCCCTCCTCCACCTCCACCTCCACCTTCCACATCCTCCTCCTCCTCCTCCTCCTCATCATCATCATCATCATCGTCATCAGGGTCTTCGTTATCACAACCATCCTCGTCCTCGCACTCCTCACCATAACAATAATCAACAGAGACAACACACATCATCATCACTATATCCGTCACCATCACAATTGTCGTCGTCATCATCCTCATCCTCATCATCATCATCATCATCATCATCATCATCATCATCATCATCAACATCATCATCAGCATCATCATCATCATCATCACCACCACCACCACCACCACCACCATCATCATCATCATCATCAGCATCATCATCATCATCATCATCATCATCATCATCATCATCATACGATTCACCCCCATCGCCCGCCACCTCCTCATCCTCCTGACATCATCCTCCTTATCTCCCAATCACCACCATCATTCATCGTCACTGCCGTCCTCATCGGTTCGAGCAGCTGCCACCGAGAATGCCGGGCTCGCACGGCGGTGGGACTTGCAACGCAGGGCCCACGGCGCAGGGCCCACGGCAACGTCGGGTTCGGGAAGAGAGCCTGGGAAGTTCCCGCAGGGGCCTGGCCGCCCTGGGGGGGGGCAGGAAAACCTGGGACCTGATGCCATTGCGCTGGTTCGGTCTCCCGCGGGCGGCGCCCGAGTCCGCGGGGAGCGGGCTGCTGGAGCGCCGCAAGGGCGCCGTCGGCATCGGCGCGCTACCCGACAGCACCGCGTCGAGGCGCGGCGCAGGACAAAAAAGGGCCACCGCGCGCAGACACCGCGGTAGCCCGCGCATCTCGTCAGCGTCGCCCGAGTCCGCGGGGGGGCGGGCTGCTGGAGCGCTGCGGGAACGCCCTGCGTCGGCACGCTGCCCGGAAACACCGCGCGGACACGCGACGCAGCACAGGAGCATCGCCCCGCGGGACCGCCGCCAGGGGCGCCGCGGGACCGCCGCCGGGAGCGCCGCGGGAGCGCCCTGGGGAGGTCTTGCGTGGGTGGGGGGGGGTATGTCGTGTTTTTGCATGGTGTTTTGACGTCGCGTTTTCACGTGTATGCTTCTTTTTAACTCTCACGATGAAAAATCCGAATTTTACCATGAAGAATGCCCATCGGTTGGAAGCAGTAGGTAGAAACCAGAAAGTAAGAAGGCGTTAGACGTATATTGGGTGTCCGCCCACCCCCTAAAGAGGACGGAACAGGTGAAGCCACTCGATCATTGACGCAGGAAGGCGCTTAGAATAGATTGGGGATCTGGGAATCCAGAAACACCAACTCTCAACGACCGATGAATAACCGTCCAACGCTACGCTACGACCAGCCGCAGTGCAGGGCAGCCCACACGCGGTGTGGCCACGGTGGGACGGCGGCCCAGTCTTTTAGCAAGGCCGTGCTGCAGCACGCGCCCCGCCAAGAGCCGAAGGCATACCAAGCCCACCAGCCCTGTAGGGCGTGAGTGGTTCCCAGAGATCCAGCGTATTGAACAAAATCACGACGGATTTGTTTCCCAATGTTCGGCCTCCATGGGCCCTTACAGTTCAGTGGCAAGTACGTTTTCCGGATCTGGCTCCAGAGGCAACAATTAAAATGCAAGACGCGCTCCCAGTTGACACATCGAATTTCTCTTTAGGAGAATTGCGGAACGCATTGCGAAAACTGATGCAGGGGAAAGCGGCCGGGCCTCACAATATACCACCAGACTTTTGCAACATACTTGCCAACAGCGACGAAGCATGCTCAGCATTATTACACGTATGTCAAACATTTTGGGAAACGACAGACGTACCAACGAAATGGAGGAGAGCCACCATGGTTTTGCTATTCAAAAAAAGGCGACGCAACTCTCCCAAGCAACTATAAGCCGATTTCGTTGTTGGCATTGGGGTACAAAACTTTGGCTTCCATGATACACCGCAGTCTTGTACAAGGAGGGCCAGAACGAAGAATGCGATCATCCCAGTTTAGCTTCCGCCCTTGGCGTGGCATGGCGGACGCACTGATGCTGGTAAGGCGAATAATAGATGCAGCACATACAAATAAGAACGATGGTATTATACTACTTTTGTTGGACTGGGCAAAAGCATTTGGTCGCTTGAAGCCAGACTGTCCCTGCAATGCGTTGGAAAGATTTGGCCTGCCAGCTCCTATGGTGCAGATGGTACAATATATATATATATATATATATATATATATATATATGTATGTGTATGTATATGTAAGTTAGTGTATATATATATATATATATGAATATGTATATATATATATTATGAGAGGTATTTCACGATTGTGGACCACAGCGGGCGTTCGTCGGAATGCAGACGGTTTGCAGGAATTGCGCACGCCTGCCCTTTATCGCCATATATTTTCATTACGATTCGTTCAGTGATGTTGCACGAGGTATTCGACAACCTGCCTCTCTTGGAAGAGCCCGCATATGATGTGACAAGGGACATCCTGTACGCTGACGACACGCTCCTGCTCTCCAAACACCCGGGACATTTACAACTTATATTGGACGCAATTATTTCATCAGGGCAGAAAAACGGCTTGGACTTAAACTGGGACGAAACAGTACAAATCCTAATTTCCCATACAAGCGTGGTGCGGCCACCGAATGGGAATCCAATCGAAACAGCGAGAGAAGCCGCGTACCTGAGAGGCTTGATTTCTTGCGACGGTCGCGCCGGGAATGAATTATCTCGAAGGCTGAGAGAATCGGGCGCCATGCTTCGCGGTTTGAACTAAATCTGGGCGCACACTTCTATAACGTCGCGCAGGAACCTGCAGTTATTTCCCGCATGTATTTTCAGCAAGCTTTTATATTCACTAGACTCTCTATGCCTTTTGAAGTCTGACAGATCAAGGACTGATGCTTTCCAATGTAGATGCTTGAGAAAGATATTGAATATTCCATGTTCGTACATATCACGGGTATCTAACGCCACCGTTCTTCAAAACAACAAAAAACATGTACGAAAGTGTTGTCGGATATCTTGTACGATCGGCATATGCTTTACAAGAATATCGCTTCCTACGACGCAAGGTCGTTGGTGAGACAAGTGGTATGCAACCCCGACGGCACGCCTAAACAATGGGCTTACCCGAGACGCAGAGGCCGCCCACGACAACGACGGGCACACTCAGTGTACCACATGGTGTCAAAGCTGATTTGATCGATCCTCGTCGTTATCTATCATCTTCAGATCGGCGCCGGCCTTTGGCCCTGCTCCCTCGCCTGTCGCCGCCGCACGACACAGCGTTTGGCTGTTCGTCTGCTTTGCCTACGCGTCCACTCGGATGCACGGCTGCTGTACCGTACTGTACTGGCGCCCTTACCGAGCCTCGGGGCAGTCAAAACACGACAAAGAATGGAAAACAGGTCGGGTCCTTGGGAATGGGTCGAGACTTCCGGGGAGCCCGCATGGAAACAAACACGACATCGGATCTTTGGGGTCTTCCCCTTCGGTGATGGGCTCATCACTGCTACCAATAAAGTGGACACCCCCTCCCCCGGGCGACCGACCAGCCAACCACGACCAATGAGTGCCCCCCCACCATCCCTATCAACCAATTATCCTGGCGAAGCCGTTGTGGGCATCGCCTTCTGTGGATCTCCTTATGGGGCCACGAAACGTGTAAAGAGTGTGCCGAAATTGGGCGGGGACGCATGCGGGCGCAGCCATTGGGGCCGTCAGTGGCACTCCACATGGGGCCTCATGGGGCCAAGAAACGCGTGAGGGGTGTGCCGAAATGGAGCGGGGCCGCCATGCGAACGTCGCCGCTGGGGCCTTCGGTTGAGTTCCCTGAGGGCCGCGACTCGCGTGAGGGGATGCCAAAATGGGCGGGGGGGACGCATGCGAACGTCGCCCTTCGGTGAATCTTCGTATGGGGTCACGAAGCACGTGATGGGTGTGCCGAAATGAGGCGGGGGGAGACGCATTTGATCACAGCCAGTGTGGGGCTACGAAACTACGTGCTGGGTGGCGCAGCCACTGGTGCCTTCGGTGGAGTTCCCTATGGGGCCTCGAAGCGCCGTACTGGGTGGCGCGGGACGCAGATCCCTATGGGGATTCGAAGCAGCGTGTCGGGTGGCGCGGGAAGCATGTGGTCACAGCCACTGGGGCCGTCGCCGGAGCTCCCTGTGGGGCCACCAAAAGCCGTGCTGGGTGGCGCGGGGCGCATGTGGTCACAGCCACTGGGGCCTTCGGGGGAGCTCCCTATGGGGCCGCGAAGCGCCGTACTGGGTGGCGCGGGACGCATGTGGTCACAGCCAATGGGGCCTTCGGTGGGGCTCCCTATGGGGCCACGAAAACTTACACTGGCTGCACTGAAATTGTGGACATGCGGAGGGCAGAGGCAAGGGGGGGAGGAGGGGGAGGAAGGAGAAGAGGAGAGGAGAGGAGAGGAGAGGAGAGGAGAGGAGAGGAGATGAGAAGCGACACAGGGTCCTGTCTATTCAAAACGAGGACCCAAACGAGGACCCAACACCACAGGATAATAATGCAAAGTCCACTGTTGGGCAAGATCTTGGGTCATGATCGGGGTGTCGCGATCACTTCGGAGTGCTTTCTGCAAAGGACGGCGGGGGTGCCCGCATATCGCCTGCTACGCGCAGGGCCAGCATCCCTGTCAAATCAACCTGGCGAAAAGCCCAACCGTATGCAGTTGTGAATATTGCCGTTGTGCGAATCGCCTTCGGTGGATCTCCTTACGGGGCCACGAAGCGTGTAAAGGGGGTGCCGGAATGGGGCGGGGACGCATGCGGGTGCAGCCATTGGGGCCTTCGGTGGCGCTCCATATGGGACCACGGAACGTGTGAGGGGTGTGCCGAAATGGAGCGGGGCCGCCATGCGAACGTCGCCACTGGGGCCTTCGGTGGAGTCCCCTTTATGGGGCCACGGAGCGCGTAAGGGGTATGCCAAAATGGGCGGGGGGGACGCATGCGAACGTCGCCCCTTCGGTGGAGCTCCGTATGGGGCCACGAAAGGCGTGAGAGGTATGCCGAAATGGGCGGGGGGGAACGCATGTGATCACAGCCAGTGGGCCGCCTTCGGAAGAGCTTCCTTTCGGGCCACGGGACGCATGTGCTGGGTGGCGCAGCCACTGGGGCCTTCGGTTGAGCTCCCTATGGGGCAACGAAGCGCCGTACTGGATGAGGCGGGACGCATGTGATCACAGCCACTGGGGCCTTCGGGGGAGCTCCCTATGGGGGCCATGGAACGCAGTAATTACTTGGTGGCGCGGGACGCATGCGGTCAAAGCCGCTGGAGCCTTCGGTGAAGCTCCCTATGGGGCCACGAAGCGCCGTACTGCGTGGCACGGGGCGCATATGGTCACAGCCAGTGGGGCATTCGGTGGAGGTCCCTATGGGGCCACGAAGCGCTGTACTGGGTGGCGCGGGGCGCATGTGATCACAGCCACTGGGGTCTTCGGTGGAGCCCTCTATGAGGCCACAAAACGCTGTGCTGGGCGGCGCGGGACGCATGTGGTCACAATCACAAGGGCCTTCGGGGGAGATCCATATGGGGCATGGAACGCCGTGCTGGGCGGCGCGGGACGCATGTGGTCACAGTCACTGGGGCCTTAAATGGGCCCCCCTATGGGACCACGAAACGCCGTACTTGGTGGAGCGGGGCGCATGTGATCACAGCCACTGGGGCCTTCGGTACAGCTCCCTATGGGGGCACAAACTGGTGTACTGGGTGCGGAGGCAGGGGCGCAGGGATGGCAGGATGAGGGGGAGGAGGAAGGAGGAGAGGAGAGGAGAGGAGAGGAGAGGAGAGGAGAGGAGAGGAGAGGAGAGGAGAGGAGAGGAAAAGAGAGGAGAGGAGAAAATAGGAGAAGAGATGCGGGGCCCTGTCTCGTCAAAACGAAGACCCAACACCATGGACTTCGAACCATAATCTGGATCATGTGCGGACACCCCGCGATCACTGTGCATTGGTTCTTGACTGGGGCGGCGGGGGTGCTGGCATATTGCCTGCTATGTGCAGGCCCGCAAACGCTATGATGGCGAACCCGCCGCGATTGCGCTCTGGTTGGTTTTCGACACGGGTGGGCCCACGGGTGGGGGCCGACACTCTTGGAGGGCGGCAAGCCCGTGGGCTTGATCGGCCCCTACGTGGACGACCTATTCTCGACGAGCGACCCGAACAACGAGCTATACAAGACCACGACCGATAAACTGTGGAGGGCTGCTGCTGCCGACCGAGGAGAAGCCGCCGTTCAGGTTCTGCGGAAGGTACGTCGGAACGCGGAGGGCTAAACGATCAGAGTCGGCATGACGAACTTCGTCGACGCTATGGAGACCCTCGCGATACCCTCGGCCCTTGCGAAGCAGAACAAGGCGTCTGCTACGGACGACGAGAAAAGCACCTAGGAGTTGGTGATCGATTCGCTGGGATAGCTACAGGCAGCGCTGACGGGACGTCTATGTTGGATACGGTTGGCTCGCGCAGTGGAAGGGGCAGGCCACTCTCTTAGCACCTGCGCGAGTGGAGCGATCTGGCACGATACTGCAATTCGGTGGCAACTCATGGGAGCCTCCCATACCCATGCGAATCGACGCCAATCGACGCTAAATCGACGCTGATCGACGCCAACTGATGTCAAATCGGCGCTATCTCATCGACTCCCATACGCCAATCGACGCTAACAGACGCTAAAGACGTAATCAAGAGGGTATACAAGGCTCCCATGATTTGCTACCAGACTACAAGCATACGAGGGAAACAAGTCGATGCTTCCGGAGCGAACTCATACAGGAAAGCAGAGACCGACTTTCGTGCGTGTTCGCTGGCGACAGCTTCGACAACATCGACGATATCACGCCTGGCCCACTTGGCAAGAAGGTGAAGTCTCAGCTCGGTTCCGGTTGCCTGCTCAGCGACAGCAGCCTCCACAAGCACCAAGAATAATCGGTTCGCTTCCTTGACCGGGGCAGCTTGAAGATCAAGGGTGCCTGCAGGTCGCCTCTGGGAAGACAGAATCACGTACTGACAGATGGAGCTGAAGCGCTGGAATGGATCCGGGCGCTGTGCTACGAGATGGCGGAGCCAGACGAGCCGCTCGGCGACCCGGACGACGTGGCGGCCCCGATGCCCGCCATGCTCTGACGAAGCTGGAGGCCGTGCGCGGCTACACGACCAAGCGATGGAGAGTCACCGCTGAGACTGCCGCCTCCAGGGAGGCGAGGAGGAGGAAAAGGAGGAGGAGGAGGAGGAACAGGAGGAGGAGCAGGAGGTGGAGGAACAGGAGGAGTAGGAGGAGGAGCAGGAGGAGGAGGAGGAGGACGAGGAGGGATCCTCGAGGAGAGTGGAGCGTGAAGGTCACCGCTGAGACTGCCGCCTCCAAGGAGGCGCTCCAGAGCGCGCGCCATCGGCGCGCTGACAAGCGCCACGCAGGCGGCACAGGAGCCGCAATCACCGACAGAGTGGACCAAGGCGCGACAAGATGCTAATGCATACGCTATTTCCCCACATCCTGAGTGGGTTTCTTGTTTTCCCAGGACACCCTCTCCTTCCCACCTTCCCACCTTCCCACCTTCCCACCTCCCGCTCCCTCTTCCTACTCCTACCATACCATACTATACCATACAATACTGCTCCCTCTTCCTATTCCTACCATACCATACTATACCATACCATACCATACCATACCATACCATACCATACCATACCATACTATAGCAGACCACCGGAGTCAGGCAAGCACGTAGGAAACCATACATACACCATCACCGCATACCTACCACACCATACAATACCATACAATACCTACCTACAGCTCCAGGGAGGCCCCGCCAGAGCGAGGACAGTATTCGCAAACCATCTTATTTATCAGGTTTCGTGCCCCTCCCAGCGCTCCAGGGAGGCCCCGCCAGAGCGAGGACAGTATTCGCGAACCATATTATTTATCAGGTTTCGTGCCCCTCCCAGCGCTCCAGGGAGGCCCCGCCAGAGCGAGGACAGTATTCGCAAACCATATTATTTATCAGGTTTCGTGCCCCTCCCAGCGCTCCAGGGAGGCCCCGCCAGAGCGAGGACAGTATTCGCAAACCATATTATTTATCAGGTTTCGTGCCCCTCCCACGCTCCAGGGAGGCCCCGCCAGAGCGAGGACAGTATTCGCAAACCATATTATTTATCAGGTTTCGTGCCCCTCCCACAGGGAGGCCCCGCCAGAGCGAGGACAGTATTCGCAAACCATATTATTTATCAGGTTTCGTGCCCCTCCCAGCGCTCCAGGGAGGCCCCGCCAGAGCGAGGACAGTATTCGCAAACCATATTATTTATCAGGTTTCGTGCCCCTCCCAGCGCTCCAGGGAGGCCCCGCCAGAGCGAGGACAGTATTCGCAAACCATATTATTTATCAGGTTTCGTGCCCCTCCCACCGCTCCAGGGAGGCCCCGCCAGAGCGAGGACAGCATTCGCGAACCATATAATTTATCAGGTTTCGTGCCCCTCCCAGCGCTCCAGGGAGGCCCCGCCATAGCGAGGACAGTAGGACCATATTACTTATTCGCACACCATATATATGTATCAGGTTTCGTGCCCCTCCCAGCGCTCCAGGGAGGCCCCGCCTGAGCGAGGATAGTATTCGCAAACCATATTATTTATCAGGTTTCGTGCCCCTCCCACCCCTCCAGGGAGGCCCCGCCAGAGCGAGGACAGTATTCGCAAACCATATTGTGTATCAGGTTTCGTGCCCCTCCCAGCGCTCCAGGGAGGCCCCGCCAGAGCGAGGACAGTATTCGCAAACCATATTATGTATCAGGTTTCGCGCCCCTCCCACCGCTCCAGGGAGGCCCCGCCAGAGCGAGGACAGTATTCGCGAACCATATTATTTATCAGGTTTCGCGCCCCTCCCAGCGCTCCAGGGAGGCTCCACCAGAGGAATCCTCAGAATCCTCAGAATCTTCCTGACTAAGCCCGCGCCCTATTAAAACGCACATGTGGGAAACTCCGTTAGCATAATGTTTTCATCTGGCCTGGCGGCCCCCGTCCGCACTAATGAAGCCAGAGGCTCGAGGACGGGTCATGAAATGCAAGCAATACTCCCTGGTCCCAGCCTCCACCTCGTGCCTGCCTTCAGCACCGCTGACGTATCGGTTGCAAGAGCTTTTGCTGTCACGGATGCCGCAAGCCCTTAGAGCATCCATATCCACCGAGCGGCGGCTCGATACTTGAGAGGAGAAAAATGTGCGACGAGCAGGACTGGGAGGGAAAACAGTGAGGGGAACGAGAAGGAAAAGGAGTAAGAGGACATCGGGAGATGGCAGTCTACAACCAACTCTGCTTACTAAACCTTTAATCCACCGCGGACAGCCGCAATCCAGCTCACGGGGATTGCTAATTGTCCGTCCCAATAAACATCGTATCAACCCTCCCCAAATTGCGCTTCAGTGCCAGGCCGTGCTGGATTCCTGGGTCGTCGCACTTTCAATCGTGGAGGAAATCTGGGTTGCATGTTCTGTGTCTCCCCAAGCCATGCTCGCCCTGAGGGTTTTCAATGTGTGGCCCTAGGTAATGAGTTGGTCCCGTCTACCAGGACAGCGGGCGATGCCCGCTCGGAGTCCCATAGGGCACCGTCCAGAGGGATTCGCCGAGACTGTTCTACCGATGGGGTTCCATTCCCTAGGTTCCCGCACGAGTCCCACCTCACAGGGTTCCACCTGGCAGGGTGCCACCCTGGAATGACATGTTTCACGGTTGAGAGGCTAGGGGTCCGCGCGCTGATATTTGTCTTCTAGAGGCGGTCACCCCTCCGTCCGAGTCCGCGTGCGCCAAGCCTTAGCCCCAATGGTTGGCGCCCGAGGAGACGAAGAGAAGCTCGCGCCCCGGCCCCAGCCGAGGAAAATCCGTGAGCGACGCAGCAAAAGTGGGCACTGCCCTGGCGCCACCCGGCCACGCCCATCCTGGCAGCGCCAGCCAGCCCTGCGAAGAGGTGGCCTGCCTCGCGCTCGCGCTGGCCTGTCCTCCCGACCGCAGCCTGCACGAGAGCCGGGCTTGAAATCCCTACGCGCTGGCGCTCCGCAGCCGCGCCATCCGCACCTGCAAGCATCTGATGCCTAATTCCGCATGCCGAGCCCCTAGAGCGCCGAGAACGGACATGCGGCCCTCGTTCGCGATACCCCGCGTCAGAGGGCCGTAGGAGAAGTGAGCCGCGGCGGCGAGACGCTCGCTTCCGCTTCCGCTCCCTCCCCATGTAGCATCCCGTGGAGAGTGTCTGGATTCTGCGGCGTCTCCACTGTGATTGGCGGCGCCAGCGCTGTGGCGGGCGGCACAGTAGTAGCAAGCGGAGCGAGCATCTGCGGTGCTGCTGCCTGCGGCGGTAGCTTCGCCTGCGGCACCTCCTGCGTGGAGGTGGTGGTTGGCGGGGCGATCGCTGGCGACGCCGCTGCGAACGCCTGCGTCGATTCACTGGGCGGCGGCGGCGGCGCCTCCACCGCAGCGGGCTGCTCGGGAGCCCTGGTCGGAGACGACATCGCCAGCGGCTCTGCCAACGTGGCCTCGCGCGGGGCGGCCTTGGCAAACTCGGCGGCGGGGATTGGCGGCGCCTCTGCGGTCGAGTGCGCAGTCGCATCGGGCAGCTGCATTGGCGCTCCGGGCGGCGGCGGCGACGGAGCCACTGTGACCAAGGTGCGGGCGCCAGGCAGCGGCAGCATGGCCAGTGGATCGGTCGGCGGCATGGCCGTGGGGGGCGCAGGTGCCCTGTTGGCCGCATGTTCTGCGGCCTCTGCAGCCGGTGGCGCGCGTAGAGCCGCCTGCGCCGTCATTGACATCGACTCCAGCAGCTGGCGTTCGCCCAGCGCCTGCACCTCTGCTGGCGCAGGTGCCACCTCCAGCTGCGGCGGCAGCGTGACGGTATTGGGGGGCGGTCCAGGGGGCGGCGGTGGCATGAGGAAGGGCGCCACACGGCTTGTCGAGGCAACCTTGTCGGGCATCATCGCCTGCAAGGCTTCCATGGCTTGCTGCTCCAGCGGGCCGGCTTTCGCCTTCTCTGTTTCGTAGGTGTTCGTACGCCTGATCCTGAGAGGCCTCCCGAACACTTCCTGGCCATCGAAGATCTGCATGATCTTTGTGGCCAAGTCTATGCTCTGAAACTGCACGAAGGCGTAAGCGCCATCAGCGCACATGTTGATGTTGGTGATCGCCGGCCCAGTCTCCGCCCGCCACTCCTTAAGCTGCTGGGCGACGGGGTCGACGAGCTTCTGGATGGCCTCTGGGGTCGTTTTCGAGCGGACGAGGTTGCCAAAGTACAGCTCACGCAGCTTCGCCTCCTTCTGGCTGTACATCGCGTTCGTTGGGGCCTTTGGCAGCAGCCCGCGCTGCCGCAGGGGCGTCACGTCTAAGGCTTTGGCATCGCCGCCCGGAGGAGGCACGTACGCTCCTGGCCTCCCGATGCCAAGGCTCCTGCCGCACAGTTCGAAACCGCTGAACAACATTGCGGTGCTCGCCATGACTGGATCACGGAACTCCACGAACGAATACGATCCCGATCCAGCGTGCCCCATCGTGAGAACTGCTATGGGGTCAGCCACGTCTGGGTAGGTCTCCTGGTATGCTGGGAGTTCCCTGAAGAGGGTCACAAAGGCCAAGCGGAGCCGATCTGGCTGGACCACGTTATACGGCAGATTCCCGACGTAGACCTCCCGGGTCTTCACGCCGCCCAGCCCGAAGAAGGACTTCTTCTGCACCTCCAGCTGCTCCTTCATCATCTGGGCAGTCGGCTCCAAGTCCCACTTCGACACCTTCGCCTTTAAAGCCCTCCCCTCTGGAGTCCGAGTAGATGGGGTCGGGAGATCGCGCCGCATCGCCGATGTGTCGGCGATGCGTCGGCGACGCATCGGCAATGCATCGGCGACGCCGGTGATGCATGGAGGCGGCGGCGCGGAGAAAATCAGCCTCCACGTTGAGCCGCATCGCCGATGCATCGGTGATGTGGCGCGATCCTCCGACCTGATCTGCTCGGACCCCACATGGGAGGCCCAAGGCCTTCTTGTCGCCCCCAGCCCCCTCGGGCTTGCCCTCGGGCAGCGCCCTCGCTGTCGCCGGCGCCTCCGCGGCATGCGGGGCGGGCGCTGCCGCCTTGCGGCGCGCCTGGGCGGTGCCGTCCCTGCGGATGCTGCCACTGCGACCACGCTGGGCCCCGCCGCTGCTGCTGCTGCTGCTGGACCCGCGCCGCTTGCGACTCACCCTGCGGCTGCCCTTGCCCGCGCCAGATTGGCGCCGGCGCGAGCCGGCGCTGCTGGCGCTGCTGGTGCTGCTGGTGCCGCTGCGGGCACGCTGCCTGCGCTCCTGGAGGACCTGGCGCTTGGCGGCCTCCAGCCCGGGGCTTGCGTTGGTCCCCCTGCCGCGCGCTCGGCCGCCGATGCGGCGGCTGCGGGAGCGCCTGCCTGACGGGACAAGCAGTCGCGAGGCAACACCGATTCTCCACCTCCCACGAGGGGGAAAAGGGGAGCATCGATGTCGGCACGTTCACTCTCCCCTGACTGCCTGTCACGACGCCTCCACTGCGGCCGGGCCGTCCGTGCGGGCTGCCACGACCCCCAGGGCTCGAGCTGCTCGGAGGCTGGCTCCGCGAAGGGCTCCGCTCCCGCTGCGCCCGCATCTGCACGGGCTTGGCCTTTTGGTGGACGAACTTGCACTCTTCCCCATATCGGCAACCGCGCTTTGAGTTGAAGAAGAGGCACAGCAACGTCTTGTTTCCACGGATGTACGGCTTGAACCTAGGGGGCACAGAAAAAGTGCAGGTGCTGCTACTCCCCAGAACTCACTCCCAAAGTGCCTTCTGACCAGGGTTCCGCGGCGGAACCAGCCGTCGACGAGGGCCCCCCAGGAGCCCCCATCAGGCGAAAACGAGGGAGGAATGTGGGTATCTCTTGCTCCTCTGAATACCGGGGGCCGTCGCGGCCGCTCTGCCCGCCAGTGGTGCCAGACGTGCGGGCGTCAGCACGGGGTTCGGACCGGCCAGGCGACTCTGACTGCTGCGCCTGAGACGTCTGCCGCTTGCGGGTGACCTCCTTCCCCTTCAGGGTGTCCTTCTCCTCCGGGGTGTTCTTGCTCCAGAACGCCTCCAGCGCGTTCTTGATCGAGAAAGCTTGCGACATGGTGGCTGCACGGGCTAGAACTCGCGAGGCCGTGAGCCGATCCCCACTCCGATGCGGCTGCTGGAGCCAAGGCTACGCACACGCGCCCCGCTGCGCTGGACCCCCTCCAAGGCGCGCGGAGCGCGCCAGGGGCTGCGCCCCAACCTAACCCGAAGAACCGAATTTCGGGTTGGGGGGCGTACTGGTTCCACACGTGTTTTTTCAATGTTCCCCGACGCCCCCCACTGGAAGTGGAGGACAAATCAAAGCCTTCGGGTTGGGTTGGGGTGGGATGGTGGCATTTCGGCACACCCCTCACACGTTTCGTGCCCCCAAAGTGACACCGCCCGCATGCGTCACCCACACTCTTCTCGGCACACCACTCACACGCTTCGTGGCCCCATAGGGAGCTCTACCGAAGACCCCAGAGCTACCGCCCGCATGCGTCACCCACACCCACTTCGGCACACCCCTCACACGTTTCGTGGCCCCATAGGGAGCTCCACCGAAGACCCCAGAGCCACCGCCCGCATGCGTCACCCACACCCATTTCGACACACCCCTCACACGTTTCGTGGCACCAGAGGGAGCTCCACCGAAGGCCCCAGTGCCACCGCCCGCATGCGTCACCCACACCCATTTCGGCACACCCCTCACACGCTTGGTGCTCCCATATGCAGCTCCACCGAAGGCCCCAGCGCCACCGCCCGCATGCGTCACCTACGCACATTCCAGCACACCCTTCACGCGCTTCGTGACCCCATGGGGAGCTCCACCGAAGGCGCCAGTGGCTGCGTTCGCATGCGCCCACTGCACCCATTTCGGCACAACCATCACACGTTTCACGGCCCCAAAGGTAGCTTCACCGACGCCCCCAGTGGCTGCGTTCGCATGCGCCCACCGCACCTGTTCGGGCACACCTTGCAGGCGTTTCGTGGCCCCATAGGGTATTCCACCGACGGGCCCAGCGGCTGCTTTCGCATACGCCCACTGGACAAATTCTGGCACACCCCTCACACGTCTCGTGGCCCTATAGGGAGCTCCTCCGAATGCGATGCATACAACGACGGTGCTCACAATTGCATATGGTTGGGTCCTTCGCCGGGCTATTTTTCTTTGACTTCTGGCTTAGCTCCGACTGTACCTGCTCATGCAGAGACACGAACCGGTGGGCAGGGCTGGACCTAAACGTTGTTCATGGTTTTGCGCTCGTATGGTTGTTCGTTCTGCTGTGCCTGTTTTCCTGCACCTCCCTGCCAAAACGAATCACAAAACACAGCCGAAGTCCAGCAAAACAGCGTTTGGGTCCAGCCCTGCCGGTGGGTGCCGCGCCCCATCGCCGGATGCGGCCCCTGGCGTTCCTCTCTGGGGCTGCTCGGCGCTCCTCGGGGTGCGGGGCCCCTCTCGGCAGTGGTGGCCCCAGCGTTCCTCGGGGAAGCCGTGCGGAGCAACCCCGAGCAGCGATTCTCCGAGCGATGCCACGCAGCGCCAAGCAGTGCCAAGCAACGAACAGCCAATGCCGAGCACTGCCAAGCTACGCCAAATAATGAGAAGCCGACGCCAAGCAATGCCAAGCTACGCCAAGCAAGGTGAATCGAAGAACTGAAAGCAATGCCCAGCAATGGAAGGCAATGGCAAGCAATGCCAAGCAGTTTCAAGCAATGCCGCGCAATACAAAGCGAAGCAACACAATGCCAAGCAATGCCAAGCAATGCCAAGCACAGCTTCGCATTGCTCAAAACTGTTCTGAAGTGGTCTAGAAGAAAGGGAGACCCCTCACAGGTGTCGCGCCACGACCATTTAATCACACGAGCCACGGACCTATTACGAAGTTTAGGGGTGCGAAAGCTTGTGAAACCCCTGGCCACTAGGACTCCGTGCTTGCGCAAAAGATGCTGTGAGTGCAGTGGTGCTGCAGCGGGCCATATGTGTTGATATTGCTCCTCCTCCTCCTCCTCCTCATCCTGCTGCTCGGGCAGGGTGTCGAACGGGGTGCCCTACGGTGTCATGTGGTTTCTGCGGTGGTGCTTCGCGCGATTGGAAATAATTTCCCCTCGTGGTGCCCATTACGCTTTTCGCAATGCTGTTCACTGGCGCCCCGTTCTGACGCCGCCCGATCTGACGCAAAAACTAAGAGCAACATTAGCGGAACGGGTGCAGAAGGGTAATAATACAACAACGTTACAGACGCAGTCGTAATCGAAATGGCAGTTGCACTCACATTCGGGTTCGCAGTGGCCGCTGGCTCGTTTTGTTGCAACGTGGGCTCACCAGATCTCTGGACCCCCTCTCCAGGGGTGACGTTTCATCCTGAGTGCACCTTCCAAGCGCGACCTCCTGCGGCTCAAAATGACGAAAGCACTGGCTCCTCGACTGTGCGAGCCGTCGGATGCCTGGTCCTGAATGGTTCCCTGGTTCTGCCTCTGTTTCGATGTTCGGCGCGGCTATGCCCCGCCTGGTTCGGGCACTGGTTTGCCCAGAATAGGGTGCGGCTCCGCCTCCGGCGTCCTCCCAGTTTGTTTGCTAAAGGGCATGGTTCGCTCAGTTCGGGGTGCGTCTCGTATAGAGTGTCCTCGCAATATTTATGGGTGCGGTCAGAATTCAAGTAGATGCTGAAAATGCACTGTGGACGGGAATGGCATCATCATGAACAATCCACTTGAACTGCAGCTTCAGCAATACAACAACGGTTACTGTTTCTGCAGCTGCTACCGCGGCTGCTGCTGCCACCGTTGCTCCTGCTGTTACTGTCGCTGTGCTGATACCGCCTGCTCCTGCTATCTGCCGCTGCTGCTACTGCGACTGACCGCCGCTGTGATGTTGATGCTCCCACGACCAGTGCCACTGCGGAGCAACGAGATGAGCCCACAAGTCTGTCCTGACTATTTCAAGACGGGGTTTCAAGAAGACCAGACCCACTCCTCGGAGCAGGCTTTTCATACCGAAGCGTTCCTCGACGGTCTCTGGTGCAAGGGAGGTCCCAAGGAGCCAGAAAATAGCAGCAGCAGCAGTAGCAGCAACAACAACAACAACAACACCAACAACAACAACAGCAACAGCAACAGCAACAGCAACAGCAACAGCAACAACACCAACACCAACACCAACACCAACACCAACACCAACAACTACAACAACAACAACAACAACAACAACAACACCAACAACAACACCAACAACACCAACACCAACAACAACAACAACCACAACAACAACACCACCACCAACAACAACAACAAACAAAACACATACATGAACCCTTTCCCAGGACCTGCACGGTTTCCCCCGAGGCCGTAGGCAACCCGAGGAGGAGGAGGAGGAGGAGGAGGAGAAGGAGGAGGTGGAGGAGGGGGAGGATCAGGAGGGAGGAGGAGGAGGAGTAGGAGGAGGAGCAGGAGGAGGAGGAGGAGGACGGGTCGCCTAAGCCCTTCGGAGAAACCCTCCACCAGGACCTCATCTTCATGGTGATCCTCCCCCGCCGCTCATACATCGACCCCCCCGAACCTGTCCAGTGCCAGGGTGCGATCTGACCAAATCTTGAACTTTCAGAGGCCAGGAAACAACTAAACTTAGGTCGGGCGTGTCCCCCTACATGCGGATTCTAAACGAAAACTGAAGAAAACCCAAACATATTCAAACATAGTCAAAGAGATAATAGAAAAATTGTCCCCCGACTATTGTTTCACAATTTTCGAGTATTCCTTAGGCAGTGGGACCCGCCCGATTTAAAGCTAAAAACACCTAGAACCTGTCCTTGAAGCTGGACCCCCCACGAGAATGAAGCAACGCAGGCGCGCGGGGTTCCGCGGAAGTCCCGACCACCCCGACTGCAACGACACGCGAAGAGGGCAAGGGCCCCGGTTTATACTATTCGCGTTCCTCCCCCCCCTCGCCCTGGGCACGCCACGATTCGCGCCAGCGCCGTCTGGGATCTCGCCAAGTCCTGAGGATTCCCAGACGGCCCCCTCCCCCCCCACGTCACGCCCGTTCTCGCCAGAAGCTGCGAAGATGGCCTCCGTCGAGGGCACGAACAGGGCGGGGGCACGACGGGCAACCCACAAGCGCCGACCATGTCCGCATTCACGCCCTCGCGGTCTGGACCCCGGGGAACGATCCCGCGGATACGCGGTCGCACGGATACGTTCCGCGCGGAACATCCGCGAAAAACGTCCCGCATCCGCGGCGTTGCGGCCCAAGGGCCCGGCCCGCGAGGACGCAGATCTTGTAGTTTCGGGCCCCCTTCCCCAGACACCCGAGGCGCAGTGGATATCGACAATCATCTGGCCACTAAAGACTAAATCTTTGTGCACACCTGCTGCGCCTTGGCCTTTGTGGCGTCCCTCCGCAGCATTCCCCGTGCATTGTTCGGTTTCGCGCGTGCGTTTTTTTGCCAGATGATCCAGAATGGTCCTCGATGGTTCTCGCGGCAAAAAATGCACACGTCCGAGCGATGCCAAGATGCGGGTATATTTTTCATCCAGGAACAACAAGGGCACCAAGGATTGGGATGGGACGGAGGAAATGGGTACGATACCCAACAACAAAAGCTGTCCAAAACCACAAGCGGACGCTGTTGGGCAGGCGCCCTTCTGCCTCAAGTGGACACCGCCCGCGGCGACGCCGACACCGAGTCCTGCTCGAAATGAGTAGGTTGTGCTGCCAATTGTTGTACACATTCTTTCCGTACCCAATTCGGTCGTCCCGAACAGAGTGACCGACCGTCACAGCATTCCTATAACTAGGCCTTCCACGGAATGGATCCACAATCACCAAGTTCTCAGAGCACAAGCCCGATGTCTCAAAACAAGACGGTCTGAGCCATGAGTGATGTAAGAACACCTCGCGCAGGCTACAGGAAGGTTCTTGGAACATCCTCTGGTGGACCTACGTATAGGCAAGCCAGGACGCTTCGCCTCTGCTTGAGCAACGGGTGCAACAAGTGCTGGGCCTGTTTTCCACCACCACCACCATAAGTTGGAGGAGGGAAGGACGTGGAGGACGAGGAGGAGGAGGACCAAGAG